GGACCGGGCCTGGAACCCCGACCGCCTGGCTCCCAGCGCCTTTGCCCTGTGCTGTCGTTTGCCTCTCTTGGTGCTCTCGCCCACAAAAGAGAGGGAGAAACCCAGCAGGTCATCGAGGCAGGTTCTTCCTGCTTGGCAACCCTCTCTCCTGAATACTCGCGATCGGAACATTTTAGAGGGAAAATATATTAATATTCAATACTTCATCCTTGCCCCGAATACAGGGGCATCTTTAACACAGGGAGGTCCTAAATCCCCCCATACATTGGGTTCTTGTCATTGTTCCTTGCGTAACATGTCAAGGCACAGGTTAGTTTTGATTTGCTATTTGCGCATTCCGCGCTGCCAGGGATGAGTCTTCCCAAGATGTTCAGGGTGAGGGCAGCCACTCCTTCCACGCGGGGCTGAGCGCACGGCCGGCAGTGAGGGCGGGGCGCGGTTCCTGGCCCCGGCGCTGGACGTCACTGAACTACACTCGTTCTTAGTTTTCTCTTCCGTGAGACAGGGATGTTGTTTTTGAGGATTCAGAGTCGTCAACAGCAACAACAACAACAACAACAACGGTTTGTAACTGCCTATGTGATAGGTACTAACTAGACTTATCGTGGTGATCATTTTGTGATATTTACAAATAATGCATCATTATATTGTACACCTGAAACTAATGTAATGATATGGTTAATTATACCTCAATAACCTACAAAAAACAGGAATGATTGGTTGACCCCCACCTCCTTCACCTCAATAGGACGCCAAAGACTATTCACCAGAGGTTTTTTTCCTTCCTTAGCTCCTAGACTTGTTAAAGTCTGTATGAAGGTATAAAGTGCACTGATAAGCATGATAAAAATAACACCTAATAGCTGCTGTTTACTAAGCCTATACTATGTGCTAGGCACCTTACCACACCTTTTATGTACATAATCTAATTTGCTGCTTGTGCAAACCTCATATGGTCATATATTTTATAGAAGAGGAAACAGAGTCAGGAAGTTTAGCTGTCTAAGGTTACAAAGCATGCTAGGACTCACCAAATTTGCTCTTTGAATGCAGATCTGTCTGACTGTAACCATTGTATTATCCTGCCTCCTCATTCCTATTTCTTCCAGGGCATCTGATAATCTTGGGCGCGTGTTCTCTTATGTGAATGTCTGTGTGTTTGCATGAGTTTGTTCCCATGTCAGTAATTTCATGTGTATAAGAGTTACAAAAACTTGAAAACAGTGACTTAAACAAATTGTATCCAATGAATTCTTTAGGAGAGTGGTTCATGGTTGGCATGGCAACCCAATAGTGTCATCAGGAGCTCCTTTTAACTCTCTAAGGGGTAGCCCTCATTTTCATGCTGACAAAATAGCTGCAAGAGCTCCAGTCATCACTCCCGTATTCCAAGCATGAAAAAGTTGATGAGTGGAAGCAAAGGCAAAAGTGACAAGCCAGTGAAGTCTTCCCCCATTTTAAAAGTCATTCCTGGAAACTCTACCCAGCAATTTCCATATATTTGTTGGTGGGGATTGTCATAATGACCACTGTTAGTTACAAGAGGCTGGGAAATGTAGTTTTTAGGTGGGCACATTGTTACAATGAACAAAATCAGAGTTCTATCAACAAGAAAACCCATCTGCCAGTCTCTTGAAATAAGTAAGTGCAGCCAGTGATACTCTTCCCCAGGGACTGAGTAGCTGGGAGACATTTGGGGTGTCGAGAAGCTGAGAATATCTTGAGGAAGGTCAAAGAGTTAGTTCAGTAGAAGCTAAAATCAAGGAAACTATTTCTTGGATACGCAGGAGAGTTGTCAATAAAGCAGCCTGACCTGAGCCAGGGAAAGGTGAAGAAGGATCCAGAATGAGGGCTGTAACCCTGATGACTTGAATCTAACTACACTCAGATCACAACCAGTAGGGAGAAAACAGAGGAACCCCAGATTCTAAATATGCCCTAAGTATTAGTAGTTAAAGCTGTACCATTCGTAAGATTTTATTTCATAAATATCATCTGTGGATGGACACTAATTCTTTCAGATTCATGTTGGGGGGAGCGTGTGGAGGGGAGGCAGGCGTAATTGGGAAGCAGAATGAAGAAATGAATACAACGGAACAATGACAGGAGCCAAGTTGACCTGGGTTTACATTCTAGCTCTGCCACTTGGAGACCACATGGCCTTGGACAAGTCGCTTACTCTTTCTAACTCTTCTTACTTCTTATTAAAAAAAAAAGAAAAAAGAAAGAAAGAAATTGATGATCCAGTGCCTGACACGTGGCTGGTGGCAATGGTATGGCCATTGTAGGTACTGTCACCCGGCCAGCTGTCACCCGTCACCATGTACTGCTGCGCACTTGCTGTGAGCCCAGTTGGGACACAGGTGAAGAGCCTGGTTCCTGTTGAAGGTGTGCAAGGAGATCACGGAGTGCGGGTGAGGAGATTAACTTTTGAAGCAGCCATCACAAGGAAATGCGCTGAACTCTTGATGTCAACTAAGGCAGGAAGCCTTCTGCCGGGTCGACCAAACTGTGGATCTCAAATGCTCACTTGGGGTCCCCTGAAAAGAAAAACCCTTCATCGCAGAAGGGTTCATTCTTCCAAGGTTCACCTTTCTCATACGTAGAATGAAGATAAGCGTAATGCCTGCCTCCAGGGATGTTGGGAGAATCACACTTGGAGGGCCCTTGGTGCATTGTGCGCCCCACAAATAGTCCCTGTTGTTAGAGATGCTGCCTCCCTCCGTGTTCACCCCGGCAAGAGCAGGGCATGTTGGTTTCCACTTGCTCGGCTGTCTCCGCTCCAGCAACCCCATAAACACTTTAACTAGGACACGAAGTGCACATACACTCACTCGCACTGTGCTGGGAAGGGAGAGGGATAATATGATTAATAGAGTTCTTGGATGGCAAAGTGCTTTCAAGTGCTCCTGTAGACTCGTAAACATCCTTGGCTTCAGTGCTTAGAAAAGTGGGACCGTCCAGGGCAGCAAACACACCATCCGTGGCGGGGGGGGGGGGGCGGTATGTTCCACGTTCCCGGGAGAGCTTCGCGTCTCAGGCCAGATCTTCTCTGCTCTTGCCATCTCTCTGCTGGTCACACAGGTCTGAGGTCCGGTGACCTATATGTCCTTGCCTCTAGTTTCTGAGATGTGAACGGGCTGGACTAGGAGCTGGGGGAAATCAAAGAACAACTGGTGTTTTCCTGGAAACAATGCGCCACGTGCCCTATCACCCCTCGCCTGCCTTTCTCTGTATCTGCGTCACCTTCTGTCCAGTCAAAGCACTTCTCCAAGGGTCGTGTCCTGTGATCCTCTCTGAGGCCTTTGGAGAAGGCAGAGGAGATTCACTCCCTGTTGTTTCCATTAAGAAAACCACGGCCCACAGAGAGGAAATGATTTGCTCCTGCTTGCCATGGCCTGGGCTTGAACCCACATCTTCAGCCCCCAGACCCTGGCCCTTTCTACACAGCCCGCTCGCGTGGCCGCTAGCCTGTGCCCTTGTCGGGAAGCCTTCCCCTGTTTTCAGGCGGGTGCCCCTTCAGAGGGGGCGAGGTGTCCAAACACGGAGCATTTTGCCGTTGCTGGGAACTGTTTCAGAGTCAGGCATTTATTCACTGTGCTCATCGAGGATGAAGGCAGAAGAGGTCGGTGTATAACCGCTTGCGGTCCTGCCAGAGCAGGGTGTGTCCCGTTAGGGTTGGCCCAGGCTCCTCCGCCTGCACAAGAGGATTCTGGGTGGACTTGAGGTTCCACCGCACGGCTACAGCAGGGCTCCCCCCAAGTACGGAGGTCTCTGCTGTACCCCCACCCCGCCTTCCTCCTCTCCTGAGCTGCTAGGGCTTGAAATTCCACTGTTTGGAGCCCTGAAGACTAAGGCTAATGGGTCTTTCAGGAATTCTTTTACTATACTTAGCAGTTTATATTTAAAAAAACAAACAAACTTAGGGCCCTGGCCCATGTGGCTCAGTTAGTTGGAGCATTTTCCTGTAAACTGAAAGGGTGCGGGTTCGATTCTCAGTCAGAGCATATACTCAGCTTGTGGGTTCAATCCCCGGTGGGGGAATGTACAGGAGGCAACCAAAAGGCGACCAATTGATATTTCTCCCTCTCTGTCACTCCCTCTTTCTCTCTCTCTAAAAAGAAAAATATGTTCTCAGGTAAAGATAAAAAAAAATTTTAAGAAAACCACTTGGGGTCCTTTGTAGAGGCGTCACAAAGCCTGTTTCCTTGGGCGCCCGTGCCCTTGTGCATGAGACGTGAGCAGTAAGAGGCACGGTAGGATCCAACGTGCTTCCTGTAAAAGGGCTCGGAGAATGCACGCCGACAGAGAGCTGAGAAGGAGGCTGGGGCTGCGGTGTCAGTCAGGGAAGGCGGGGAGGCGGCTGCGGCTGGAACTCAGAGCGCGGGGTCTGACCCTGGAAGCTCTCCCGCCCGGGACTCTCAGGCAAGACGGCTGACCTCGCAGAGTGGCCCAGGATCGGACAGTGCGGTCTCGAAAGCCATTTGGATTGCTTTAACCTCCCGCCGCTGGTGTCTGCGAATACAAAGCAACGGTTAATGGTACCAGATGGTGTATGCTCTCAAATGCCCCCTGCTTCCTGCCCTGAGAGGAAAAAGAGCCCCCGGGAGAAATAATCAAGGGTACTATTTTCAAAGTTGCAATTAATTGTGTATTCAGGAAAGCTCGTCCTCCCCCAGTTGAGGGTGAAGGAGGAGCTGTGCCCGCGAGGGTGGTTGGCATGGTCCGTTTAAGGTGAGGAGGGCAGTTAGCGGCTCATACTCAGTACCAGGGACCCTGGAGCAGCCAGCTGTTAGGCTCATGCAATGGTGTGGCTTGGGAGCCGACTTCCTTCCATTAAAATCCATGCCTCAGGGTAGGTCTGACCATCTGGCCTTGAACTTGGAAGCTGCACAGCCCCGTCACCTCGCCTTGGCGCGTCCCCCACCTCCCCCGGCCGCTGTCCTGTCCTTTCGCTTCTCAGACGTCCTCCCCTCACGTGTCCCTTCTCTCTCCTCCAGCCAGTGAGACCTGCAACGACTTCCACCCGATGTTCTTCACCCACGACAAATCCTTCGAGGAGTTTTTCTGCATCTGTATCCAGCTCCTGAACAAGACATGGAAGGAGATGAGGGCGACTTCTGAAGACTTCAACAAGGTAAGGGGGCCCTGGAGCAGGGGCAGCATCGCGTCGCCCCTTTGCCCGGCCCCTTCGCGGTGCGGGGAAGGCAGGGGGCGAGCTGGGAGGATGGGAGGACTGTGGTTGTAGGCTCTTTGAGAGAGAAGGAGAGACGCGCGTCGGGCTCGGTGGTGCTCCGCTGTCCCTGGGGGTGAGCTGCGCGCGATTTCGTCCCGCTCGGCCCACAGCAGCGGAGGCCCTCCTGTGAAGAATGATGCCCAGGTGAACTTTTCCTTTAATGGCGTGGCTCTGGGATGCCTTGTTACTGTTGCGAGATCTACTGGGGATCATGTCTGCCTGTCACCTGCGCTGGTGGTTGTCACCCAGAGAAAGCGATCAGGATGCCTGGTCAGTCTAGGTCACGTGGTTTCTTTGTGGCTTATGGGTACGTGGAGACAGTTTGTCCTCGGCTGTGTCAAAAAGGGTTTTATTAAATCACAAGATCTCTTTTGGACAGTTGAGTAAGTAAGTTTGCATAGAACGTTTTTTTTCGTTTTGAGAAAGCATGTGATTCTTTGAATGGAAGTGTCCTTGGGTTTTCCACAAGAGTGTGAATTTCTGTTTTCTTTCTGCGAGCGCACGTGCGGTGGAGGGAAGAGTGTTGACCCCCTTAGAGGGAGCAGAAGCAGCATCATGTACACCTTTCAAGATAAGCGACATCTTTATCCTGCGATAAAAGCCTTATTAGCAACAGTGACAGGGCCAAGCAGTGATGTTTGGTGCAGGTGCATGTCTGCCTTTAATTCTTCTAATTGGCCACTGTCTGGTTGGCCTCGTGGCCCATGTGCACTGACCTGTTCCTAGGGACATGGCTCTTTCTAAAAGTCTAAGGGCCGGATCTCCCAGCTTACCTGTGGGGCCGCGTGGGCCTGTGCGTGGGACAAAACATAATAAATGGATTCCCTCTCTGCGTGGCGTTCCTGTGGGTCTCCGCCTCCCTCTCACCTCTTCTCTGAATTTCCATTTCCTCCTTTCCCACGTCGTGTCTCAGCACTCTGATCCCTCTCCTGCCTCGATTGTTCACTTTTAAGAACACCTGTGATGACGCTGGACCACCTGGGTGATCCAGGATCCTCTTCCCTGTGCTAAGGTCAGCTGATCAGCAACCTCAGTTCTATCTGCAACCTCGATTCCCCTTTGCCGCAGAGGAGAGCACGTTCACAGAATCTGGGCATGAGCAGCTGGCCTCATAGAGGGGCCATCGTTTTCCCTACCGTAATGTGTGTTTAAATTGTAGGTGGACTGGTTTGTAGGTGCGTGTTGCCAGTTGAAATGAATGAAACATGGGCAGATGAGCTTTTTCTGTTGCTGTCCTTTTTGCTCGCAGACCAGAATAATACCAGTCACGGAGTCCTGCTAATGGTTGCTCAAGCACAAATATAATTATATCCCTTTTCTTTTATGCCCCTGTGTGACAGCCCGTAATCTAGTGTGAAAGATAACTTTCTGATTTTTCCCTGCTGTCAGCCTATTAACCACTGCTCTGTTTTAGTGGATGATAAATTGGAAAAGAGAGATTTTAATCAGTTCACTTTTCTCCTTGATATTAACTCGGAAGCAGAAGTGATTGAATTTAGGGACAAATGTGGACTTGGCATTACTGGTTCGAGTTAATGTTTTCCTTGTCTCACAGGGTTGTCCAAATTTGAATTCAGAAATATTGTAAAGAAGCTCAACACGAGACATAATTTCTCTTGCACTTCCTTTGACATTGCCTCAGGCTCTGGCCACTTTGCAGGGAAGCGTGGATGGCAGACTCCATCCTGGAATGGCAACCTGAAACACGGGATCTGCCTTCTTTAGCTCATTACTGGAGAAGCAGCACCCCTCGACCCAAAATTTAATTTTTCTAACAAGCAAGACTAGATTCCAGCAGACGTGGGACTCTCTCTGACCTCCCACCTTGAATGGGACCCTTGCTTATAGGTGTCAAGTGTGCTTGGTAGTCAACACTCCTGCTTGAGCTGAGGTTTGGAAGGGCAGCTGTCTTTCTCTTCCTCCGGACCTGAGAAGCGGCAGATGGGATATTTTTTTCATTTACATAAGAAAAGTAGCATTAAAGAGTGATTAAAATAGTTATACCTTGAAAAGTACTTCCTTTTGATTTCTCAGTAGAGCAGTCTCTGCAGAGTAGTCCATCGATACAGGCCATTGGGTTTGTAATCTGCATGTTCGCCTTTTATTACTAATATTTGAGAGCGTGCATCATTCATGGTTATGGGCTTTCGAGAAGAGATGAACTGCAGCTGGGCACCTTGGCATATCCAGGGCCCTGTCATTGTGCCATTGAAGCCCTCGTTTTTTAGCAGGACAGGAAAGGGGACGCAGTAATGTGGATATTTCAGGTACAGGAATCTCATTGGCAGATTTTTATCGCTGGCAGCTCCACCTTACAAAGCTTAATGAGGGTCTACATGTCAAAACCTATTATTTGTGCGTGGCAGTGTTTCTCAACCTTGCGCTAGAATCAGCAAGGGAGGGGGTTGGAAACCCTGCTAGTCCAGGGCCCGATTGGTCCACACGCTGTTTAAAATCCCTGGGTGGGGACAAAGGTATCAGGGAAGATTTCTGTTAAGCTAGATTTGATCAGTGAAGGTGAATCGTGTCCGTAGGATCTCCGTCAGTCAACACATGTAACACGTATCACCAGCTGGTACACACTGTGTGCATTGATGATGCAGCATGTCCACTGGTCTGAAAGGCCCAGGTTCTAATCCTGGTTCTGTGACTCAGGAACAGTACGCCTGAAAATAAAAATTGTTTTAAAAAGTGGATGCCAACATCCCATCGCTCTCTGTTATGGTGGTATGATATTAAGTTAAAGTAATAACATAAAAATGCTTTGAAAAAGTAAAATGCCGTATGCAGTTGTAAAGTGTTCTTTTTGTATGTAATAAGATAGAGTCTGTCTATTGAAAAATGAGTAAATTGCACTTTCTTTTTTTTACTTATCATTGAGTTTATTGAAGTAACATTGCTTAATAAAATTATATAGGTTTCAGGTGTACAGTTGTGTAACACATCATCTGCAGACGGTGCTGTGCGTTCTCCACCCCAAGGCAGATCTCCCACCATTATTTATCCCCTCTCTACCCTGTTCCACTTCCTCCACCCTGCTTTCCCTTTCGTTATCACCATACTGTTGTCTGTGTCTATGAGTTGTTTTTTTCAATTGTACTATTTTAAAAAAAGACATTTTTTTAAAACATAAAATGTCTTTTTGGCCATTATGTTAAAAAAAAAAAAGGGAAAACTGTCTATGTACCTCAAATGAAGTTCTTAACTGAATTAAATAACTCACTTAACATTGGCAGAAATCGTGTTGAAGCTGAAAATTTCATGGATTTTGGGGGTGTCTTCCTCTATACAACTTCATTAGGCCCCTTGGTTTTCGATGTGATGAGCCGTGGGAATGAGCCTAGAAATCAGCAGTTGGCACACCTCTCGTGCTCCCAATGGCTGGTGGGTAATTGCTGTTCCACAAGTACCTAGTTGCCCAGACCTCTCTGGGCATGGCTGAGCCTTCTAGGGACCATCCAAGTTATTTGTTCATAGCAAATATTGGTGTTACTTTAGAGACATCCAAAATCGGCATTGAAAACCAAGATCCAATGATGTTGCTATGCTTTCAAATTACCAAAGTGGAAGAAACTAATGATTGAGAAACATAGCCACTCGAGAATAAAAGCACTATTTTAAAACGTCCCCCAGCAGCATAGTAAGCAAAGCACAACAGGATAGAGGTTGCAGTCTCAGGCTTATGGATAAGAATCCATTCCTTCCAACAGGAGAGCCGGGCCCCGGGTAGAACAGGGGCCTAGCAAACAAAGCCGCAGCTGCCCAGCGAGGCCACAGCCCACAGCCCCGGGAGTCAGCGGGGGAGGCTCTCTCTAGGAAGAACCAGAGGGCGGGACAGAGCGAGCATCCTGAGAGGTCCCCTGGGACATGACCGCTGGAAAATAGCCACACACTAGTCCCATCTAGTGGGTTAGGGTTTAGTACAAAAAAGGGATTCTTTGAAACTTAAAGGCAACGATCGGGTGAATAAAGAAAGGAAATACGTTTGCTCCCCAGTGGCTTCCAGCTTACTGGCTTTCTGTGCATGTATCTCAGGGGGCAATTACATATTCAGGCGTCCCCTTTCTGGGCTAGACCAGCTCAACTTGCTAGTGAGGCAGATGCTGTTGGTTAGCTGAGCTGGCTCGGGGAATGAAAGGTGGTCTGTAACCCTCTGCATGAATAAACATGAATCGCATTTGCATGAGGCAGGTGACTGTAAAATATCTGGGAGCAAGTTGTGAAAGGAGGCTTTGTGCATCTGCGCCCAGGGGAAGCTGGGGAGGACACGGCGTTGTTTCTCTTCATTAGAATTCCATCTAGTGCTGCTGGTATTGATCGGAACCGAGGCCGGTGTGGCTAATAAAGTAGGTGTACGTTGTAATTGAAACATTAATATTTAAGGAGAGGAGAAGTCTGTTAAAGGGCCTTAATGTCATACAGTGGGGTTATCCATTTTCCAGCTGTCTAGGCTGTTTATGAGAATTTATTCAAAAGGCTTGTCATGTTTCACAAAGGCCTTTAGGTTTGGCACGAAGAAAATCGAACCTTCTTTCAAAGCAAATGCATCATATGAATAGATTTATTTATTTTTCCTTCCATGTCCCTGCTAGAGAGGTAGCAAATAGTTTCATGTGGGTGTTTGAGTGCTTTTAAACTATTCATTGAACAGACCATCACCATTTTTCGTAGGATTGGCCACCTTCAGTTGGACACTAATCAAAGCGTGTCTTCCCTGGTCCTCATCAATATCAATTACGCTATCGAGGGACAGCAAGAAGACCGAGAGAGGGACTGACCTCTCTAACATCTTTTCCAATTGGTATCTTCTCCAGTACAGCCCAGTGTGTACACTTGCTAAAGAGAAATATATTGATCCCAGGTGACTTGTGTCTGACTGTGGAAGGAGGCCACTGAGCAGA